TTTTTTTTTTTTTTTTTTTTTTTTTTTTTTTTTTTTTTTTTTTTTTTTTTTTGGGTCTTAACCACCTCCCAAGTAATTCAGATTTTCAATTTGTCAATGAGCTCCAGCAAATGTTCCTTTTTACCATCAACTATCTCTTCTTGATCTTCTGCTGGCTTTTTTTCCTCTTCTTGATCTTCTACTGGCTTTTTTTCCTCGTCTTGTTCTCTTTTTGACTTGTCATTATCTGTTTCCAATTCATCATGATCAGCTTTTGCTTTTGCTTTTGCTTTTGAAACTTGACATTTTTTCTTTCCTGCCTCGTATAGTACGTCTAACTCATCCTTCCAACCCAAGAGCAGTGCCAAAACATCAACTACTGAATCGCAATCCTTTAAAGCAAGCACATCCAGTTTTCTGCTACCAATATCACCAACTTTTTCTTTGTTAATTAAAACCCTGGTACATTTTTTGCTAACCTCAAATGGTAATGAAGCAAAAGGATAAACGGTTAATGATGTTCCTGATATGATTGCCAACTCAACTTGGTCACGATCCTTTTTCCAAGTTTCAAAAAACTTTGCCGGTAAGCCCTCACCAAAAAACACTATATTTGGCTTCACGTACCCTTGGCATTTTTCGCATGTAGGTATCCCATTCTTTTTCTCGTCCTTCATGTGCTGCTCTAGTGTTGAAATGCTCATTTCTTCAAAACACTCTACACAATGGTTTTTGGCAAACGAACCATGTGCTTCGACAATGTATTCATCTTTAACTCCTGCAAGACGTTCCAAAGTATCGATATTCTGTGTGTACACCCTCTTCAACTGACCACGGTCTTGAACCAACTTGATAAAGTGGTGAAACTTTGTAGGAGGAAACTTACCAGGGTATAATTCATGTGCTAGTGTATAAAATGGTTTAGGATTTTCTTTGAAATAATCAATATCAAAAACAGCTTCGGCAAAGGGAAGGTCAAGTTTAGCCAATTGTGAATATAACCCGGTTTCGGGGCTTCTAAAATCGGGAATCCCTGCGGAAGTAGATATCCCTGCGCCATTAAAAAACGTTACCTTCTTACCATCTTTAATAGCATCAGCCACTGGTTTCAATTTCAAATCGAGATCTACCATATATATATCAATATAAGAGACAAACTAAAAAGGAAAATAATATAAAATAAAAAGATAAAACCTCCTATGATCAGCTTCCCTCGCAAGTATTGATAAAAAGACAAGATGTGGGGGGGGAGGGTCTCTATATACCAAAGATTTACTATAACTTTCAAGTATCAAACAATAAGAGCCCGAAACCCTTCTACACTATGATGATATAATTAAATGATAATCCTAATCTGAAGCTACCAATTGTTATTCCAGATTGATGAGATGAGCTCACTCGAGGGCTTTTTTCTTTTTGACATATATATATATATATATTTATGTAGATGAGATCTTGCTATTAGATACAAAAACTTGTTATTTCTGGCTTGAGCAAAAGACATATGTCAGAACCGCTGCTTGAGGTGATTGAGAAACATTTATCTGAGTTAAATGTGGATGAGTCATCACCCGCGATTATACGTCAGAAACAACTCGCGGCAGAAAGATTGAACAAGGTTAAAACGAAGCGAGATGAAGAAATTCGGTCTATCGAAGAAGAACACAGATTGAACTTTAAAAGAGGTGAATTGATACAATTGCATGCTGGTTTTGTTGATGAGTGTAGACAATACATTCAAAGCTTCCTCGATCAACTGATGGACTGGGCAAATATCGAGCTAGCAATTGAACTCGAGAAGAAGAAGAAGGGGGGTAACGCTATAGCAAAGTGCATTGACTTGCCATTGAACTTGAAAGAAAACAAAATACAACTTTGTCTTAGCGACCCGAATGTTGCGCAGGAGAAAAACAAAAGAGATATTCTGTCTTTGAAGTCTGACTCTGAAAGTTCAGCTGACTCTGAAAGTTCAGCTGACTCTGAGTCTGACTCCAACTCCGACTCCGACTCCGACTCCGACTCTGACAAGAGGAATAACAAAGAGAATACCAAGACACGGAAAAATAAGAATAAAGAGCAGAACAATGGATTCCCAGTGATGATTGATATCACGATAAGTTCATTTGCCAATGCGAGAAATTATTTCGATTCAATGAAAGCTGCAGAATCTCGTCAATTGAAGATAGAAAAAGGTGCAGGAATTGCTTATAAAAATGCAGAGAAAAAGATTGGCCAGGATTTAGTCAAGAACATCAAAAAGGAAAATGCTATGGCTTTGAATAAAAATGAGAGAGTAAAATTTTGGTTTGAGAAGTTTTATTGGTTCACCACTAGTGAAGGCTATTTATGCCTTGCTGGTAGAGATAATTTACAAAACGACATGATTTATTTCAAATACTTTGGTGATGATGATTTTTTTGTAAGCTCGGAAATTGAAGGATCGTTGAAGGTTTTTATAAAGAATCCAATAAAAGGCGAGTCCGTACCGCCATCAACTATTTTACAAGCAGGTGTGTTTGCAATGTCATCATCTCAAGCCTGGAATGGTAAAATTAATACGGCAGCTTGGGTATTACACGGGTCGGACGTTTCTAAATATGACTCCAAGAACAATTTACTCCCTCCTGGGACTTTTGAGTATCTTGCAAACAAGAAATTCTTGCCGCCAGCTCAATTAGTGATGGGCTTTGCCTTTTATTGTTTGGTTGACTCGGAGTCTACAAAAATCCATGCCAATAATAGAATTCATAGGGAGAGAGAACATGGGCTTATAATGTCGTTGAGTAATGAAAAAAGGGCTTTGAATAAATTAAAAGTGACTAATGTCAAGGAAAAAACTTGCCAAAACAGTTTACAACCAGAAGAAACGAAAGATCAGATTGAAGAAGCTGGATTGGGAAAGACAGAAAATTCTCCTTCTCCTTCTTCTTCTACTTCTCCTTCTCCATCGCCTTCTGTTGGTCGAGGCAAAAAAACAAAACTAAAAAAGATGGCAACCAAATATGCCGACCAGGATGAAGAAGAGAAGGAATTGAGAATGAAGGTTTTAGGGCTGAGGAAGAGTAAAGGTAAGTCACAGTCACCGCAAAAAGGCTTGTCTCCCACAAAAACAGAATCGATTGAATCAAAAGAAGATATGGAGAGAAAAAAAAGGACTCATCAACAAACAATTGAAGGATATTTACTTGATGAACAATCTAGCACTGATCTTGCTACCTATTTTGATACTATGGATGGACTTGTTCCCAAACCGATAAAGAGTGATGTTATTGTTGATATGGTACCTGTATTTGCGCCATGGTCTACTTTACAAAAGTTCAAATATAAGGCTAAAATCCAGCCAGGTTTGGCGAAAAAGGGAAAATGCATGAACGATATTATTAACTACTTCACTTCCCGTAAGATGGACAACACCAGGTCTGACACTGACTTGGATTGGCCTCAAGAGAGAGAAATCATCAATACTTTACGATCTAATGACTTGATTGGGGTATTTCCAATTAATAAAATGAGACTCGTCTTACCACAAAACAAAAAGTGAGTAAGTGAATTGGCAAACCAGATAAGTTGGAGGGGAAAGGAAGAACAATGTGTAACAAGAAATGAACGACGATTTTTAAGGTATGTATATACACGACGAACAGAACTGAATAAGATAACAATTCAAGTCTATTTGCACCCACTTTGAGTTTTAAAAGTCACCAAGTGGAGCATTGTAGGTGGTATTCATGTAGTCCCAGTAGAAGGTAAGGCTTTGTGGAACAGATGGTTCAATGCCACAATATTCATTAAAGTCCTCCCAACCAATATTGTCGTCGACATACTCTTCAAACTCATCTAATTTACAAGAAAATCCGGGACCTGTTGCACAGGTTTGGATTGGAATTACGGCATCGTTTACCAAATATCTAACGTATGATTCGCCAGAACATGAGAACTTCTCAGTGTAAATTCTGGCACCTTGAGGAACAATTGATG